ATGGAGCCGCAGCTGCAGCTGCTGAGACTTTAAAAGGCTGATCGGTAGGCATCGAACTTTCAGCACCGATCAGGGCAAAGGCATATGATTTCTCGGTAGCAGTAAGCTTTTGAGTATTGGGGTGCATAGATATCTGTGGGAGAGAGCCTGGGATTCGGTGCTTTTTGGAAAATAACCCAGGGAACAAAATCATTCTGCGTGCAGAGCCCAACAGTCGCGGCTTGATATGTCCGTATCTGTAAGTCATCAGCAAGCCCACGAGTCTAACTTGATGCTGCAGGAAGATACAGACCCTAATCTGTCGCAAAAGAACGACATCCCCACGCTGGGGGGCCGGTACATGCGTCTCATTGTTGTTAAAGTAGCGGATTTTGAGACCGTTCCAGGCCGCTGAGGAGAAGTCACTATCTTTGAGAGTGAAGGTTGATACATATGAAGATCCCCCGGAAGGTTTTGGCGCAAGGGCATCAACTACAACGGCGATAATATTCACCAGTCTATCCCTTTTTGACTGTGCAGTTTGGATGTCGTCGAATCCGACAGGTAGAGATGGGGCCATTATAATATGTAGGCCGAGAAAGAGTGTCCGACAGGAGGAGACGGAAAAATGTCAATTGGGGGGTGTGACAAGAGACCGAGGACACCAATTGGGCAATCAAGGATATATTTAAAAGGGGATCTAACTATCCCAACGGTGGACTTGCGCGTATATAATTTTGATCAAAGACTTATCTAGACTGGTGTATATCGACGGGGAGCACATCCCGGAGAAGCTGAAAAAAAGGAAATATCACACGCTCAATGCTGACGGCACTGTAGCAACGTAGAAAGATTTGCAAGATAGAATTATCTTAATCAGTTTTAATTCCGCTATTCCCGAGAGTTCTCCGTCTGGGAGTTTGATCTGCGAAGTGAAGCGTTGCAGGATGTTTGTTTGGTTTGAAGAGAAGCCCGGAGATAGGTCGGCTTAAGGAGAGCCACGCTTCCTAATCAATGACAATGCGCATTTGAACAAAAATTTCTCTGTCCTTAGCTATTTCTTTCTTCTAATTGTAGCTATGCTCAGGTGTAGTTGTGTTCGATACCTGCCTAGGGTAGATGCGTGGAGTATCAGCAATGCGTTTGCTTTGTGTCCTCCTGCGCAGACTTTTTTGACGTGAGGTTCTTTGGTGGTCAGCACACTCTCCTGCTTAGTCATCAAACTGGCTGGTTCAACCGCCCAAAGCAGAAAAGCCCCTCACTTCAATCTTTCCTTTTCTTTTCTCCTCCCAGAGCGCCCGAACCCCAAAACAATCGCCAACGTCAAAGGATATAAAAGAGAGTCCGTCTATTCCATCTCCTGGTTACTGCTTCTCTAAAGTTGTTCTTGGGCGCTGTGTTGCTGTGTCTTTCTTTTTCCTCCTGCTTTTTTCCCTCCTAACTGTAGCTCCTTGTCCACCAGTACTATCGCCATGGCGGAGCGGTATATCCCAGAACACCGTCGCACTCAGTTTAAGGCTAAAAGCTCCTTCAAGCCAGATGAGCTCCGCCGTCGTCGTGAGGAGCAGCAGGTCGAGATTCGGAAGCAGAAGCGCGAAGAGAACCTCGCAAAACGGAGAGGTATTCAGACCCGTGATGGAGGCATCGGTGTAGGCGGAGGCCCTGGTCTTGCTGCCGATGATAGTGATGAAGAGGGTGGAACCATAGAGAGTGAGGTATGTGCATGCGTTCTGTTTTGTTCTTATTTTTTTGATTATTTTGGTGCATATTTTGTGTGATTTCGCGCCATTTTCATGGCCTGTCCGTTGCCCCTGGCCCTAGCTCTCAAGCTGTAATGCACAGCAGGGAGCCGTTTGGCTCCTGAGGGCCACTATTGTCAGTGATGTCATGCAAAGAATCAAGATTATTGAAAGATCCCCGGAATGGAAAGCTAGAGTCTGTTTTTGAAAGATGACCGTTGAGATAATGATTTGATGTGGAATAACTAGCTGATACCCCTCTCTGTAGCTGAACTCTGAACTTCCGGAGATGGTCAAGGGTGTTTTCTCCGACCAAATCGAACTGCAGATCCAGGCTACCACTAAATTCAGAAAACTCCTTTCCAAAGAACGGAACCCTCCTATCGAGCGAGTTATTGAAACTGGCGTTGTCAGCCGCTTCGTTGAATTCCTTCGTTCACCCCATACTCTGGTCCAGTTTGAGGCCGCTTGGGCATTGACCAACATCGCTTCCGGATCTGCACAGCAAACCCAGGTTGTCATCGAGGCTGGTGCTGTTCCTATTTTCGTTGAGCTTTTGAGCAGCCATGAGCCCGATGTGCGGGAACAGGCTGTTTGGGCGTTGGGCAATATTGCAGGTGACAGCCCTCAATGTCGCGATTTTGTTCTTGGCGCTGGAGCTCTCCGTCCTCTCCTCGCCTTGATTGGTGATGGTCGTAAGCTTAGCATGCTTCGAAACGCCACATGGACTTTGAGCAATTTCTGCCGTGGAAAAACCCCCCAGCCTGACTGGCCAACGGTATTTCTCTCTCTCCCCTGCATGGTTGATGGCTTTTAGGTGTGATTGCTAACCCTAACTGTTGGTATTATAGATTCTGCCTGCTCTGCCCATCCTTGCTAAATTGGTGTACATGCTTGATGACGAGGTCCTGATCGACGCCTGCTGGGCCATCTCCTATCTCTCAGACGGATCAAATGACAAAATCCAGGCCGTGATCGAAGCCGGAATTCCTCGTCGGTTAGTTGAGCTGTTGATGCATGCTTCTACATCCGTCCAGACACCAGCTCTCCGGTCTGTTGGTAATATTGTTACTGGCGATGATGTCCAGACCCAAGTAATTATCAACTGTGGGGCTCTTCCTGCCCTACTCTCCCTCCTCAGCTCCACGAAAGACGGTATCCGAAAAGAAGCTTGCTGGACCATCTCCAATATTACCGCTGGCAATTCTACGCAAATCCAGGCAGTTATTGATGCTAACATCATTCCTCCATTGATTAACCTTTTGTCGAACGGAGATTTCAAGACTCGGAAAGAAGCCTGCTGGGCCATTTCAAATGCCACGTCTGGAGGCCTTCAGAAACCAGAACAAATCCGCTATCTCGTATCTCAAGGTTGCATTAAGCCCCTTTGCGACCTTCTTGCATGCCCTGATAACAAAATTATCCAAGTTGCCCTGGATGGTCTGGAGAATATTCTGAAGGTGGGAGAGATGGACAAGGAATCTGCTCAGATGGGAGAACCTAGCGTGAATCGCTATGCCCTGTTCATCGAAGAGGCCGGCGGCATGGAGAAGATCCACGATTGCCAGAACAACGCCAACGAGGAAATCTACATGAAAGCATACAACATCATTGAACGCTACTTCTCCGATGAAGAGGAAGCTGGTGCTGATATTGATGAACTTGCACCCCAGCAAACACAGGCCGGTTTCACCTTGGGTACCAACCAACAGCAAGCCGGAGCCTTCAATTTTGCCAATGGTGGAGATAGCATGGACATGTAAATGTCTTTCTATTTATCCACGCATGTCCAAATCAATATCAGCAGCTAGCACAAGGCGAGAACCGTTAAGTTCACGGTGTGACTCATCACTAATTTTCTTCCTGTTCCAACACAACAAGTCCGATTATTCCAGCAATTTTTTGCCACTTTTTTCCCCTTTATTTTCAACGAACCGTCCCACGATTAAGAGATTCACCGTCATGTATTCTCCCATTTTATATTTCCCTGATTTCATTCCGCCGCCTGTCGGACCCCGGCACATTTGTTACATTGTTTGCCTTATGCACACTACCTAAACCCAGCATGTTCAATACACCGGCGTATTTCTATCAGACCTTGTCCCCATGTTTTCACGGCCTGTTTCTCTCTCTCTCTCTCTCTCTCTCTCTCTCTCTCTCTCTTTTTTTTTTTTTTTTTTTTTTTTTTTTTTTTTTTTGAGTGTAGCTATGTGGGCGGATCGGCTTGACAACGAAACTTGGAAGCCCGTTAACTGTTCGAATTTCATTTCCCCTTTGTTGATGAGGAGGCTTGGGCGTCGTGCAATATTTATTTCTCTTCCCTATCTTTTTTGTTTCCGTTTTCTACTATAGTTTTTCTACCGTTTTCGATTTTCACCCACGTCCTCTTTCTTTTGGGTTTTGGGTTGTGGTTGATTTCGAGTTTTCTTTTCCCCATTTCACCCATGTCCACCATCCCTTTTCCCTTTCCCCATATCCCAAATCAACAAGCCCAATTTACTTAAACAAACGTGTATCACTCTGTTTCTAACAACAGCCCTGCCAATTTTTTCCCGCTCTTCCCTTCCCCCCATCTGCACTATTCTTCAAGAGCAAAGCAATACACAAAATAAATGAAGAAAAGTTTTTCATTATCATTACAACGAGTTTTATTTCTCACGTTGAATACGAAATATACTGTGGATCTAAACAGAGTGAGGCTGTTAGTCTTTCTTTGCATGAAAGTCTATTACCGGTTTGATGTTCTGCTGTAAACAAAAGTTGAGTTCACTGATATTGTCTTCTCCCATCTTCTTATCACCATCCCCAACTTTCTTCGAAGGTCAGGTGGCTAACTTGTGCCAAACCTTAAGCAAAGAGATAAATGTGAATAGACCTATCTCTACCTTCTATGAATTGGAACACTACCAAGTGGGTATGTTGGATATGTAATAAATGTTGGCATCCTACGGACTCTATTTGCCCTGACAAAACATACAGAGGAATGGGAAGATATGTTCAAATAGATACCAATTGAACGGATAATGCAATATGCGATAAAATCCTAACATACCATCTTGGATCTTGCCAACCGAGGAAAATATATATATATAACGTGAAATGGCCTTTTTTTCATTATGCACATACAAATTACACACATTGCATTTCGGGAACGTATCCCCCCCGGGGCTTTTTTCCTGGAGAGCCTTCGAAATAACTTCTCCCATCATCGCCACCTTCTCCTCCTCTAGCCTACGCCCTACAAGCTGCAAACTAACAGGCTGCCCGTGGACGACGGCGGGGTTGTCTGATGAAACAATTGTATTAGAGATGGACGTTTGGTGGAAAGAGAAAAGGGGGAAAAGAGCAGAAAAAAGAAGGCAAGAATGTCAAACATACACTCCTTTTGCACCTCGCCGTCAATTATACTGAGTTCAACCTCATCGACGGCGGGAACATCTACGGTGGCGTCGACGTGGACACCGCACGGGAACGATAGGCACGAATAATCGAGGATGTTGTAGACGCCGGTGTAACCGACGTGCTTGAAACGCGTGTGTTAGACCGTTGCATACGGGTGTTGGCGGGGCTACCGATTCTCTGTTAGCTGACTACGCTACAGCGAACTGTTCTATAGATAGTGCGGAAGAAAATGGGGGGCATACTCACTCAATAACCCATCAAGACCCTCGATTGCATTCCATCGCTCCATGTACTCCTGCTGGAGCTTGTTGCGCTCGACGTGGAGCTGCCACAGTGTCTGAACGCCGCCGTCTTTGACTTGGCCGTACAGGTCCATCTCAGGTCAAATGGGCTCTTTGGAGGCCGCAAGGATTCCTTGCACGGTCTTTCCGCCGTCTGAGAGAAAGAAGCGGTCCTAGCAAAAGTAGGGAGATTAGAGCTGTCGATTTTTTAATTTTTTTTATAGCTTTTGATCCTTAATGGGACAAATTGGGACATACTAAGATATCAACCCCTTCCTTGTGTCCCGCTGCCTACCAATCTACAACCTCATGTCCAGCACTCCTCAACTTCTCCACTGTTTCCTTCAGTGCTGTTAGGACACGTGGAGTTGGCCGCACGAGACCATCATCCCACAACACTGCTAGTTTCAGTCGCTGCTTGGGCTCCACAGTCCCAAGGGATTGGAATGCATTTTGGATCCCGGACCCAGGGCTCACTGTTAGCAACGGTGGATGCGAAGAGTTGATGCACTCTAGCGTCGTAGCCATGGGTCCGTTGACGCTCAGGACGGACTCCTGTCCCGCCAGTCCGGATTTGGTCAGGAAGTTGGGGAAGCGGCCGAAGGAGGGGCGCAGCGTGAAGATGCCTGTGCAGGCGGCGGGGATGCGGAGAGAGCCGCCTGTCATTGAATTGCTGCTGATTAGCTATATTTCCCACTACTTGGGAAATTGGAATGCGGAGAGCCGTTTAACTACATACCAATATCCGTCCCAACACCCAACGGACTGCCCCCAAACGCAATCAACGCTGACTCACCCCCAGATGAACCACCGGAGGTAAATAGGCGATGGCGCGGATTCAATGTGTGCCCAAAAACATTATTTACCGTCTCGGCAATCATCGTTGCTGTCGGGACGTTGGTCTTGACATACAGGACCGCTTCCGCCTCACGCAGCAGATCCGTCATGATGCTATTGTACGTGGCCGGGTCATTGACCCAGCCCGTAAAGCCAATTGTCGAGTCCTTGCCGATAATGTCGAAGTTGTCTTTCAGGGAAATTGGGACACCGTGAAGAGGCCCGACTGGTTTGCCGGTAGCAGCGAAGTGAGCGTCGAGTGCTTTTGCGCTTTCCAACGCCGCTGGGAAAAGGGTTTCTAAGAGGCAGTTTGTCTGGGCGGATATGTTAGCTGGGTTTTTTTTTTTTTTTTTTTTTTTTTTTTTTTTTTTTTTTGACTGATGATTGGGTAGGAGAATGAGCAGGCGTATGTTTCTCTATTGTAGATATTTTATTTTATTTTATTTTTATTTTTTTTTGCGAACACTAACATACCAGCTGATGAGCGGCAGCAGCACGTTTACAGAATGCGTGAGTTACAGCTTCCGCACTCCAGACGCCCGTTGCGGTTTTCTGTAGGATTTCGGAAGCTGTTGAGCTGGTAATCTCCAACTCATCTGCTGTGAACCATCCCGATTTCTCAGGGAAGCTAGTCACATCGGCCTGGGATTCTGGAGGGGAGATTTCTTGTTGGATAATCCATTCCGACGGGATGGAGGAGAGAAGCTCTTCCCTCTTCGCAGCGGCGATAGCCTCCCAGGTGTGTTCACTGAGCATTTTCTTAGGTATGTGTTTTAGCTGCTCTTCACCCTCTGATACTATGAGTGGCTAGTACTCTTAACTACAGATTAAAAAGTGAGTATGGATATCAAAGCAGTCGGCCAAAAAATGCTCTACGACAACCATAAAATAACAGAAACCATCAGTTTAGAATGCAGAGAGAAGGGATAACGAGATAGTTAAATGATGGGTATATAGAACGAAATATGGAACGAAATATCAACCCCGTGGGGCCAGTAACACCGGCAGTCTCCTCCTCTCCCTGACCTGTCTCCGTCGAAGCATCCGAATGATTGATGACTTTCCATCCACATGCTCTTTGGGTGCAAAATGCCAGAATACGTTCCCACTGAGAGGAGCCCGCTTATCTGATTGCTGGAGAACGGCCGATCAGTTGGCCACCCATTTCATGGGGCATTCTTAAGCCTCTCCCTCTGGCCATCATTATTCTCTAGATAACAACAAGCAAACGACCCCGCATTGGCTCCTTTGTGGTGATTAAAGGGTTGGTTGAATTGAAGGGCGGGTCCGAATTTTTTTTTTTTTTCTTTTTTTTTATTCGGCAGAGAGATAACTAGTCAAAAGAGGTGTTGAAGGTGTGTTGCGAAGTAATCAAAAGCGAAACTAATGGGGTTTTATTAGTCGCGTTATCGGCTTGTTTGGGGGCTGTTCGGAGAGTTGTCAGCGATGTCCAGTCTCCTGGGTAGTTAAACGCGACTGGGAGAGAGCAATTTCAAAACTACCCAAGTTCCTACCAGTCGACGCCTGTTATATATGATTTCCTCTCTGGGATTTTGCTGCTCCTCCTCTACCGACACGACGTCTATGCGCCATGCAACCCGTATCAAGGCAAGGGATATAGAAATGCAGTGCCCGGGCTGGGGGCCTTGGCTCTGTATTTGGTAGGGCTTGACGTAGTTAGTTACTGACCCACCGATCGCCCTCCTCCTCACGGGATGACTTGAAATGTAAGGTCTCAACAGCCACCCGTTGTATTCATTAGTTATATAAAATTGGTGATTTACAAATCTAAATATCCTTAGTTATACGTACTTTGATTTCTTTATCACAAAACACTTCATATATTATAACCGTCAAATGCATAGGAAATTAGCTGTAACCACTCCGTGCATTGGTTGGGCGTTGGTGGGTATAATAATACGTTTCGGCTGGCGCCTCGGCAATGGAGCAAGTTGTTTTTGCGAAAATTGAGCTGTTCCCAGACTCACCTATGGCTTGTTGCCACAGTTGCATATCGCAGTGCATTCCAGCGTATATATTGGTGCCGCAATACGCAGCAAACCTAGATCTCGGAATGTTGTAGAACCCTCGTTCCCGCTCCTGATCTTGCAACGAAAGCGTTGGCCGTGCACCGGGGGACCCGGGTAGCCCCCATGATCATCGTGGGCTTCTTTGGCTACCAAGTCGTTGATGAGTTGCCAGTGTTGGACAGCTGGAAGACTCCGGTAGCACATACGGAATACATAGCTATCGGGCTATGATACGATATGAGCATGGATCTCGGTAGGACAGGGAGCACCTCAACATTCTTCCATATAGTTTTACCAGAGGATGATCGCCGCAAAATGGATACATTTTATTCTCAGTCAAGGCCATCAAATAACTATATGGGTTTACACTGTCATGTAATCGTTCGATATATAGGAAAAATGTTATCGTTGCAATAGCAATCGCATTTTGACTTATCTTCCTGTTAATTTGGTATGAACCCTTTAACATTAGGGACCGATATCATGATTCGTAGCATAGATATATGAATCCTTGCTATAGTTAACTGCTTCGCAAAGATCCACCCCGCTTTCGTCGGTGGAAACGCCATTGACTTTCCAAGTTTCTTGATGAAGGGGGCAACAGCCGTTGGAAAGAGATGGTCACACTGCATGCTCGGCATTGCCGCTGCATATTCTAAACATTTGATCTCTTTGCTGGACGTAAAGTAGCACTCTCTCATGGGCCAGGATTTGGGGAAGTGCGGTACGCTGTCTTAAGCTCAGTGACCAACTTAAATACCCAGAACCACGGTTATCAACCCAAGGATCACAGCGTCGGTCGGTAGGTAGATTTTCGCAGGCTAACGAATCGTTTCTCGTTCATATATCAGCCCCGCAAACGGGAACTTTGGGGTTCAGAGTGTGGAAACCACTCGTTACATCAAGCCTGGGAATTGAGGAGACCCTGCGTCAAATTTCAAGTGCATGAGAAATTTTTGCGTAAAGTGCAGCGTTGAGATCATTTAACTCGCATTATTATTCTAATGCTAAACATAAAAGGAACCCTCGGTTAATGTAAGACCTGTACATCACTATTATGAATAACCTCGCTGATAACTACCTGTTGATATGCCTATCAGAGGGGCCACCGAACTCTGTGCTATACTCCCCTTACTTACTCCGGGAGAGGGATTGGGATCTAAAATACACGAAGAGGTAAGTGTTGAAACTTGATCCGAGTTTCTACACACCCTCCCCTCTTTGATGTGTTTGAGAGATATGAGGAGGTAATGAAATCAAAAGTTGATCCATAGATGCGTCTGCGTGAGTAGGGATTGCGGTGGAGTGAGTCTTTGCGTTTGGCAGCGAGGAGCCGGACGCTTCTGAGACGAACATGAACGGCTGGATTCTACATACCAATATAGTTTGCGGATCTCGCGGAAGGAATGTTCTTTTAACAGAATTTATTCAGAATCAAGGACTTCCCAGATTGTTTCGCACGATGCAATTCAAAAAGACAAGATTGCTAGCGGATGGGATTGCAAATGAAGGAAGGGGGTTTGAGGTCTCCAACCCGTCTCTATTTGACAAAACTCGTAGATATGCCTGATATCAGCATCCCTGACATCTTCCCGCCTCTACCTTCTACTGCTCGAAAGCCCAATATGTGGAGGAGTTCAGAAAGTATCACACATCCATCTTTGTCTTTTCTCCGGATAAGGAGACTAGCCCATCCCCTGAATATCCTTCCCCGGACGACACCCACCGTCATGTCATGGATTATGATTGATTGACCTCCTCCGCCGAGAAATTGGCTGAATAGGCGACACAGGAAGAAGAAAAAAACCTAAGACGTTATCCGCCGGCTTCGTGAGGATCAAGACTTTGCGGGCGGAACTCCGGTTAACCCCTTGGGGGGGCTATCAAAGGGGATAAATGAGAGACAACAATACAAGCCCCAATCCCAACTTTCCCAAGAGCCGGCCTCTGCAGTTGATATAGTTAGTTTGGTTAGCTAGTTAGTTAACTCTGGCCCATGGGGGTTAGTTAAATACTTGGCTGGGCGCGTTGACACTCTTGAATCAAAGAAGCATTCCTCGGCGAGGCAGCTAATGTGGTAGCTAATAACCTCACTCATTTTTCTACCCTGTCGAGACATTGCTCTGTTGAGCTCGCTGTGTCGCCTTTTTAACTCTTCCGCACATAACCACAGATATCGCCCTAGAGAGTAATGAACCCCGCCGTTTTCTTCGCAATCAATGGACGGCTCTGAAATGTAGGTGAAGCGTCAATCGTATTATTTTGGCACTTCAACTCCGATCCACGGACAAATATATGTTCAGCCAAATGTATTTCACTATCTACCCCCTAACTAGAGTGAAGTCTGCTTCTGAGGTGACCGCAAACACGGACTGCTGTCATGCTTAAACATGATTCGACAACCCATCGCCGAAACTGAATTCAGAGAAAAAGCGGATACCCGCACCGGCGAACCTTGGTTGGCCACGAGGAAGTACAGGCATCACGCGGTATTTGGTTTGGCAGGCAAAAAATAATAACAATCAACTTGACAAATCGCTTTGGCCCCTGTGGGGACGTAGGGAGACCGGTAATCGCTGATTTAAACCGGGCTCAGAGACAGTTGAAGCAGTCGGAACGGAGTCAAGTGGCGAAAGCTGCATTTCCCTCGTGTCTTGTCGCCTCAATAGCCCTGCCTTCCCGCGTAGGGGAGGGAAATGGAGAAACCGGAAGAGGGAGAGGCCTAGTAAAGGGGGAAAAGGTGGTGCTTCACCGGGTGGGCTACTATTTACACTATTATTCCGAGATGCAGAGATATCTGGCATTACTGACATAACGGATATACACTAGGTCCTCTCTCCGGAATCCAATACGTCCCCCGAATTCATGAATTATCTCAAGTCAGCTGCGAGCAATAATCATTTCACCACCCAGCAAAGGGACAGACGTCTGCTGAGCAAATCTTCATCTACGCTTCCAAGGAGCGTCCACATCCCAAAAAAAAAAAAAAATAAAAATTATCAACGGCAAGAGTTAATAATACCTCTGACTAGCTCCTCATCGATCGGAAAAGATATTGCGAGAGATACGGCCGTGTCTCCAAAACTTGGCATGCGAACGCGAGATATGGAACTGAGGAGATAGAGCCGAGGGTAGCTGTGAGCTGGCTGGTCAAATATAACTAATCAACCCTGCTTCCCCCGAATTCCTCTTTCGATGTCAATTGCTCGAACATACGTAGGGATATCCTCTTTATATATATTATCTGGGGTATCCTGGCCCTAATATCTCGCCTCTTTGCTCCCGGTTGTTGGATTGCGAGTGCGTGAGAGGAGAGCGGTTTTCATAACTATCATCTCCATCCCTAATAACTCACTGGTATCTTCGCTCTCAACCGTCGCCGCCATGGCCCGCAACAAGTTTATGCAGTATTTGCGCGGCACAGAGAGCAGGCCTGGTGAGGCTGCCCTGTTGCGCAAGATTGACTTTTTCATTCTCACATTCTGCTGTCTGATGTACTTTGCCAACTATGTGAGTTTTGTTGACTATTTCCCTTGATGACCGTTGGCAGTGCTCCAAGGCAGATATCTCGAGTTATTGCCGTCTTTCTTCCTTGAAACGGTATGGTGCGGGTTGCGCGAGGGGAAATATATGCTAACAACTACATGTCTGAATAGTTGGATCGAAGCAACTTGAACAATGCTTATGTTTCCGGAATGAAGGAGGATTTGAACTTCCAGGGAAGGCAGCTCAATCTGATCAATACCATATTTACCGTCGGGTATGGTTATCAACTCTGATTCGTTCCATGTTGTACATCGAGTCTGATATTCCTATTTCTGTAGATATATTCTTGGCCAGGTCCCCTCCAATCTGGCTCTTATCTACTTCAAGCCTAGAATATTCTTCCCTTGTATGATGCTGCTCTGGGGTGGCTTGACCATGATTACAGCTACCGTGAAGAACCCACAGTCCATCATGGCCATCCGCTTCTTCCTCGGGTTGGCTGAATCCAGCACTTTCGTCGGCACCCACTACATTCTCGGTTCGTGGTACACAGAGTCCGAGTTGGGAAAACGAAGTGGAATTTTCACTGCCTCGGGTCTTGCAGGGACTATGTTTGGCGGCTTCATCCAGACCGGTATCCATAAGTCACTACATGACGCCAGGGGATTGGCTGGTTGGAGATGGTTGTTTATTGTATGTTAAGTTGGCTATTCCGGTTCCTGCCTCGAACCTCTGAATATTTATCCTAGCGTCCTCATGCACAATCTAACATAAGCAACCCTAGATTGACGGTCTTATAACCTTACCAATTGCCCTTTATGGTCTCTTTCTCTTCCCCGACACCCCTTCCACCACCAATGCCCCCTACCTGAATGCCGATGAGCGCGCCCTCGCCATCTCCCGCGTTCCTGAACCTGTGCGCGAACGCACCCCGTTCAGCTTCTCTTTCCTCAAGCGCGTCTTGAGCTCATGGCATTGGTACGGCTTCGTCATGCTCTGGATTATCGCGGGAGAAACCGAATCCTTCTCCACAAATGCCCTCCTGGCCCTCTATATGAAATCTCACACGACCAACAAATACTCCATCTCGCAGCTCAACAATTACCCCACAGGCGTGCCGGCTGTCGGCATCGTGTCAACGATTGTCTGGGCTACATTGACTGATTTCTTGCATGGGAAGAGGTACCTGGTCGGTTATTGGATTGGTATTACTGGCGTTGTTACTTCTGCGATGATTTTGTCCCCCGGAGCGTCGACGGCGACGATCTTCGGCGCATACTATTGGGCCGGCTCCGTGTATGCGTGTCAGGCAACGTTCTTTGCATGGGCTAATGATGCCATGCGGTATAAGGATGATGCGTTGCGTAGCGTTGTCATTGCCAGCATGAATATGGGGAGTAATGTGGTTAACGCTTGGTGGGCTTTGCTCTTCTACTCAGCCGATCAGGCACCTTTTTTCACGGTATGTCCATCGCATATACGCCTTTTCGTCTGCAGTCGTCTTATCGCGTGTGCGGACCTTGCTAACTTCCTTTTTTATTTATTTATTTATTTATTTTTTTTTTTTTAGAAAGGTATGTGGGCAATGATTGCCTGCTCAATTGCAATGGCCATTTGGACTGCCGGCATTGTATACTTCTCCGTCCGTGATGAGAAGATCAAGGAGGCGCAAAGACGGGAGGACGAACCTCAGAAAATAGTTGAGAAGATAGATGTTAATGAGAGCAAAGTTTAATTGCTGATTATGTATTGTATATTTTATGCGACTTGTTGCATCATTTCGAATTATCCCTTTTTCTCTCTGTTTGCTGCCCTTGGTTATTGGATGGAGAGTTCATAGTTACAAGGGCGTCAACATTTTTACGCGAGCCATTGAGTCTGGGGCATATGATCTAGGACTCTCCATTTATATACATATGATCCTGGAATAAAAGTATAGAATCGATGAACTTCATGACATGACTATTTGCAACGCTGTTCGCAGGAAATCTGATATCCTATCGAAGTTCTTCCGAGTAGTAAGCCAGAACAAAAAAGCCCTTATCAGTTCAATCACGTGGTGTTATTAAGCATTTTTTTTGCTTCAACCTCCCCCTCCAACTGCCAGAGGGGCTCTATGGATGTTATACGCCCTATCCGACAGCCCCTATTTTCTTGTAGAGCTCAAAATTCTTACAACCCAAAAGCCCCTCGAAATATATAGATATTATGAACGTTCCGCCATATCCCGGCATTCCCTCCGGACCATCCCACTCCTCCTGTTCCTCCTTGGAAACTTCAACCCTTCTTCGCTCTCCAACCACGACCAGCATGACCACCGCCTCCTCCACCTCCCAACATCAACACCAGGAACCCTCTATATCACCCTTAGATGATATCTTCGACACCTCACTTCCCATCTTCGAAGAAGCCTCAGTCCAAGGCAACCGCACCAATATGTCAGATAGCGAACCATCAGACCTCCCATCCTTGCGCCGCCAGCATGTCACGGCCGGCTACCGAGATGGCATTACCGTGGCGAAGAGCGAACATGTCCAGCGCGGGTTTGATGCAGGATTCCCTGTTGGTGCCGAGCTGGGGTTGCGGGTTGGAATTGTGTTGGGTGTTCTTGAGGGGATGGCAAAAGTGACCGCTGCTGCAGGTCGTGGTGGTCGTGTCGGCGGTCGTAGTACAGATGCCGGCGGGAATATTAAGGAGAATAGACCCTGTCGGGAAGGAGGAGAAGATATGCAAGTCTTATTCGAGACAGCGAAGAAGGAGTTAACCTTACAAAGCATATTTGGTGCTGTTGCGACTGACGTTGCAGTGGAAGCGGAGCAGACGGGTGATGGCGGACGTCAATTGGAAGACCCGTGCTTGAAGCTGAGGAGGGCCGGGGAAGATATTGTGGCCGAGTGGGAAGGGAGAGTTAGAGAGTTGTTGGCTGAGAGCATTTGAGATCAGTTCATCTGTGGTTTGGATTCATACGATATCCGGAAACAGGTGTAATTGGATTTTTCCATCTATGCGATCCAAAATTCTCCCCGCTTGGAGCCGCTGGGAGAATGTTCAATGCCATTGGGAACCTCCGGATTCGCAGAGTGGCTGTGCCATTTTTCGAAATTCTTGGTGGGCTGCTTCGTCCTGGGAATAATCTGGGAATAAGTATTGACTCACAGCCATATATGGGATGCAGCACCTCCCGACTCCGACTCTTCCCAGGCCAACGCAGTGGGGATTTACAACTTGATGGCTGTTCATCTATATATTCACCCGGTAACAGGCGGCCCCTCATAAGTAAGAATGCAGGTTCGTTTGAAAAGTATGGTACGTAAATGTCTACTGTTCAGCCTTTCCCTTTGGAATATATAATTCTCATTACTGTCCCCTTTTCTTTGTTATCGGTTTTCCATTGTCGCCTTTCCATCAATAATTGAGAATAGTGTTCTTATACTAACATGAGATCCGACATCTAGGTATTGACTACCCCTGGGAGTTCGTCATGATTGAATACCTCTTAACTGAGTAGGGTCCAAGTGGAATGTGTTATCCAAAAACCCCCGAGAGATCCAATGTTTTCTCCCCAATATCGGAACTATATAGAATGACATGGGGAATGGAACATGTAATAAATGCGGAATTTCCGATTAGTCTTAAACCCTAGTTCCGGTTTCGTATTCTCATGGAGTATTGTCTCGTGCGTATCACAGAGGCTCCTTGACCCAAGGCTTCTGCCCACCAAGGCATCTTGTCGAGGGTTTACCAAAAGGACAGAAGGGTGAAATCAGATACCAGGCATCCACAGAATAATAGAAAGACTAGAACACACAATTTTCCTTCCTGGTTAACTTCCCATCGGCATTGACAGTATCATATAAAATCAGGTACAGGAATGGTGTTGATTTCCACTGTGACTGGATGGGGTATGCCGGTTGTTATACTTTTGGCACCTCCACCTGCGATTTCGAGACTTCTGCCAAAGGTATTAACAGTATGAGAAAATGCAAAATGATGAGAAAACTGCTGAGCCTAGTTAACGTGGTATTGTGGAGAAATCAGGTGTTACTAAGCTGGTTTTTCGAATTAGATGGCGACCTGTGAATTCATTTTGATATTGCACATTTCTTTTTAACTTTGCTTGTTTGAGGAGCAACATAAACTAAGGTTGACAAAATCCCAAAGAATTTAAATGAGAACGGTAAACTTGTGCGGGCATTCGTCGGTCTCCATCCTCCGCACTGAACATGGATATGCAAAGACTCCTGCGCAAAGCGGTGGGATTGCTGGAACGAAAACTTGGGTTAGATCGAACCAAGGCATTTCTTGATAGGGCAACAGCGCCGGTTTTGAACACAACTGGCCTCGATAATAAGATCATACCAATATTTGGATTTGGGTTGTAAAGAAGCCGCGCAAACGTTTCGGGGTAACAAAATACTCATACGTAATGAGCTGGCGCCGTGGATACCTAGGTAAGCTAAAGCAGGAACTTTGACGCGTGAACGTAATGTAGGATTTGGCTCTGGGCTTGGATTGCATGTTCAACTTGGATAGCTCATTCTGTTAGGCCATAAAATTATATTGATCCTGTTGTTAGCCGTTGATTGGCTTTATTGTTTTGAAATTTTCTGGAAGAAGCGAAGGTATGTCAACTGGGAATAGTTCCAATGACATACGTAGTAGCCTTCCAAAGTATGGCCACATGCTTTCAAAAAAAATTCGACGTAGCGATTGAGAATCAAACCCCCAGTTGAAAAATTTTCTCAACACATACATTCGAGACTCTCGCCACTCGTTACAACGACATAACGAAGCTGGGCTAATCCAGTGTGCTGAGGATGAGGAGAGCAGCACATGAAGGCTTCATGTCGCACCCATGGTATTGGAATTTGGAACACACGAAATAAGCCATGGAAACCGTACTGAAAGGTTCAGTAGAGGAGAACATGGGCTAAATTGGACCAATGCTGACGATAGGAGGCAAGATTATTGGAAGTGAAACAAATGCGGAAGCAATTGAATTGCGATAGCAAGCTGAGGGTTGCTCAGACCGCAGCAGGTGGCGAAGTGAAATCAAGGAAAGTGGGATTCAAGTATAAGGTGTGTATCAGATATACAGTGCTAACAGATCAATACAAAGGATAATAGGCAAATAGCTCAAAGAGAAGGGCGATGAATATTCTGGTAGACATTGCGAAGATCGATGGCAATTTCGAAATGAATTGGAGCGGATCCAGTCATGCCTTTGCATGAGCGATGTTGGTGTTAAAATAGCAGTCCATGAACATGGGCAGCAACTGTAGGGAGTTATGAACAAAGCATTAAATGGAGATTGTGAAGCGGGCTCCATTTTTGCTCAATCATGTTGGTTTGGGCAAACCCATGGGTGGGGTTTTGCACGTTCATGCAATGGTTCGCATTTCATAGGAACCCTCGGGAACGATAAACTTAACCGTTTAAAGTCAACATGAAAAACTTGGATTTCAGCAGACGCCCCACGCGGTGTCGAGAAAGTGATAAGACTTCCCGCTGTCATGACGAGGCGAGATGTGTTACTACATCTGGAACTTTTTGACGGCGGGTGATGTTAGGACAGGGATGTATGTTTCTAAATGTGCACGCAGAATGGAGCTTGCCAGCTCATCAAAGGCTAAGTTGGATTTGCCCACCGCCATTTTGAAGCAATGCTGCTGGATGCCTGGGGCTCCTTGGGGCTCTTATTTATGTACCCGCTTTTATCCTGGATACGCTTCAAAAACACATGCGGGAGTTCAGGTTTGCATGTTTGGAGGACAGTGGATTTTATGAGGGGGCGCGTGTGGGAACTAGAATGACGTTCTCGGAAGGCATCAAAGTTGATTCCTCCTCCCAATGGCCTCTCCAGCAGGAATTTAGTCTTCCACTGTTGTATTCTGGGTCGCATAGATAAAATACGCCCGGGCTGTCATTGTCGGTTATGTTTGCAAGCGTATGTGTGTTTCTGTGGCGGATCCTGGTGCCCAAATTTCTGTCTGATGCTGAGGTGGACTGCTGCAACTGTCCGGCGGAAACACCACTTTCCCAACAACCTGCTCAGAAACGGGGAAGTATCGTCGAGGTATGAGAGAGCAAGACAGCAAGGAGACAAATCCTCCTATGATATATGCCAAATAGAGGGACACTGGTCAAAATAGCATACCGCTGGCGCATCTGCCAACCAAGAATGTCAAAGGTCGGGAACGAGGGGTTGTACCCACTCCGTAGTTGCTTGCAGGATCCGTAGCCAGCAGCCATCCGCCGTCATGGCGCCGTGGCCAGCGCCGTAGCCAGCGCCATCACATGAAGTAGCTTATCTTGGCATATTTAGACAAGCTGATTTTGCACTTTGGTAACCCACAGATATTCATCAGACTATGTTGGTTCGGAGCCTACCTGGGAACGGCGGAGTGGCCTGGTTCCAGGTTGTGAAGAGTTGATCAAAGAGTTTCATGCAGAATGGAAAGGCCGGCCATCATTGACTTCTCTGTTGGGTTACAGGCACTTCAAGCAGAAGTACATGTGATGATGAAGCAGAAGAGGAACTATGAGAAACAAACTGGTATAAATCAGACAGTACACATTAAGCAGGCTAACTAACATACTTATTCATCATAACAAAGCAGGCTAACTAATACAAACAATACTTACTTTATTCATCATAACAGAGTAGTCATTAAACATATCAAGCTTCAATCAGCGCTATTGCATCATCATACACCTTAATAATAGGATCATGGAGTATTTTTGGGTCTTGTGGTGTTCCGACAATAATTCCTTCCTTCCCATAAGGAAACAGCACGCCTCGTATGGTCCTGCAGAGGAGTTTGACACACTCCAATTCCAGTGGAAACTCCTGCAGAAGGTATTCAAATCCATCAGCTTGCATGTCACTTCGCTTGATTCTTGCAATTTTCATATAAGTTCCAGTATTCCATTCTTTCAGCAAGCTGTCTTGCGGCAAGACCTGTCTCTGTCTCTGTCTCTGTAGCTTATCTAGTTTTTCCCAGCTGCGATGGGCACACTGCCAGATAAGCACATAGAAGAAAGACTCAAGGTCATGCCGGTAAGTATGGTCAACATTAAGAAGCACTTCAATTGCCATGAACTTCTTTGTGCCAGTCCGATAGTGTGCACTGCTTTGCTCGCTTTCAACTTCTTTGGCAAGGTCCAGATCAATTAGCATGCCAGAGTGACCACCTGTCTTTTCAGGATTGGTTATTATTATATTGTTCTCTGAAATATCCTGATGAAGAATGTTTCCAACCAGGTAAAAGAGACTGATGCGACTTTATTGCATCACGAAGTGCCATGAGTAGCTCCAAGGATGATTTGTACCTGTAGATTGGCTGGCCAGCAGGTGATATCACCAGACAGCGGAGAACACGATTGTCATAGAGTTCCTTGCCATTCCTGTCAAAGAGACTTGGCTTGTGCACTGACTGAATGGAGAAAGTAAGTTCATTCTTCTGCTGAGAGGTCCTTAATGATTGACTTGTGAAATGTGATTGTTTGGACACCTGCATTCCCTTGTCTGGATATTTGCGTTTCCTAGAGGGCTCAGCAGGTGGCTGAGATTGATGAGGTGAGGAGGCTATACTGGGGGTTGCACTTTTGAAGTCATGGCGTTTGTTGTTGAAGGTCAGGCCGCAGCGCATGTCAGCTATGCTGGTGATGGTACTGTGTCCAATAATCCTGGCAATCCCTTGGACATTTTTTTGAGCTGCTAGCGTGAGGAGTTCCACCTCTGGGCGCCACTTATCTGATACCCATGAGAGCTTGGCTACACCCTCCACTTCTCCATCATCTGTGAGAAAACATGTGGTCCCATGGCACACAATGGCATGCTGAAAGGTAAGCATTTTACTCAGCTGCAGTATCATTTCCTCTGAGGATTCAGGCTCTTTGATGGTTATTGATTTGCTGCCATCTTCATTCCTAGCAATAAAGGTATCCAGTCCCAGCTCCTCATCACTCATCATGGTGTAGCCCACAAACACCTTAAGGAATTGTCTTGGATCTGTGTTGACATCAATGATGCCTGAGCTGTAAGGGCCTGAGCGGTCAAACACCCACATCTCCATCTTAGTCCCGCAGACAGTGAATGCGTGGACAAATCACCGGGTGGGTTGGACAGCAAAGATTTCATGCACATAGCAGCTTATCTGCAGCAATGTATCTTTGGTCCTGATCTCCTTCTCTGATTTTTTCAGCTCACCAATCACCAGGATGTCTCTCCAGTCATGTTTGCCTTGTGAGAGGCTTGTGCTTCTAGCTCTCAGAAGGAGGTCAACTTGCCATTCTGCCTTTGAACCAGTAAGACCTGCTTTGCTCTCTGTGGTGTAGTAGATGCTGCGTGATTCTGAGAGAAGGCCTTCTTGAAGATGAAATCACCAGGCAAAGACATCACTCTGCATAGGAGGATCAGGAAACCGGGCCCAGTTCCCATCACTGTCTGTGGCTAGCACATGTCGACAGATGGCATCTGCTTTGTCACTCCAGTCTTTTCCCTCAAAGTACTTGTTGAAGAAGCCCTCAACATCCCAAAATGTGCAGTCACATATCTCCTCAAAGATTCTCATATTCACCAACTCGCGTCTCTGCTCGGAGTCTTTCTGTGATGATGAGGCGGATTTGACTGGCGTGCCATAAAAGGTAGGGGGGACATATGGAGTCGATTGTGAGATGGTAACTGTGAGATCAAGGACAGCCTGCCAGATATCAACATCTGGTGCGTTTTGGATGATGAGCTGCACCAACGGTCGAAAGTGGTTGCAGTTGAAATCACCCTTGCGAATGCGTCCAAAGATATCTGCAAGTTGAGAAGCCACATTATGATTACTTATTTCAGACTGAAGGTCAAGAGCTATCTCTTGCCCCAGAAAAAAAGTTAAGAAGTTGTGATATTGCCTTTTGACAGATTTCATCCTGAGGATCAGCTGAGACATCATATATTTGCTCTGCCTCCTGAAGTGAGCCTCGCAGCTGATCTAGCGAGTCTTTAAAAGGATGCTTTGTGATGAGATCGTAATGATGATGTGAAAGGTTGGCCATATGGGATGTTATGGCACATGCAGCAGTAGAAGGGATGGGGAAGCAAGGGAGTGAATTGAAAAGTTTGTTTTTAACTATGTGTCAGGATATCTCAACAGCTAATGTTGTATCAAACTGAGCTGTATATTCCTTGCATCGATTTTATCGCTATTAGCTGCTAGTAAAATAGGTTGTTGGTTAAACAACCAAGAAACGGAAAGAGAAGGTTGCTAGGCGGTTCCCACGTGTACGGGTTATTTGTATGCGGGGTAATTGTGGGGGTTGGTTGCTATGCCGTTGCCTAGACAGTTGCGATTACCGATCACCTGGGCCTGGTGGCCTGACGCTGTCGAGGAGGCTGGACGGAGCCCGGAGCCCGTTCTACGCCATCACACTCTATACTCTGATTTGCAAGGTCTACTCTGTTCATATAATGATTGTAATCATCAATCATGACAGGAATATCAAGACTTTTCACTGAGTCATTGTCAAAAACACAGTGAACTTGAAGATCATTTGTAGAGGTAATTCCTGACTGTTTTCAATTGTGAGTAATAAAACTGTCTGATGAATGAACTGTAGACATTGCTAATACCTGTTATGATGCAGCTGCTTGTATATGGATTAAGATTGATCCATTCTAACCTCAACCATATTCAGTTGCTCATGTTGATCCGATCCGATCCCCAACCACCCCTATATATTTGGCTGCTCGTTCATTCCACATTCTAATCCCCAGTTTAGTATTCTCGTCGCAGCTGCCTAGTTAGATAGATGAATTGAAGCTGTTGTCTTGTTATTGTAAGGACACTTAATGTGGATGAATTAAATGTCAAAAGGAAGTGTGAGAAGCTCTATAACTAAAATTGTAAGAGGGTAGATATATAGATACTGTGAGTGCTATAAAGGGAAGAGAATAGCAATGAATGAAATATATATGTCGAATTGAATAGTAGCTAATCATTGAATCTCTCAAAGGAACTTTGAGAATTCAGAGTGTTTATATATATGAATAAGTAACAATAGATTTTATCTTTAATCTTTCATGAAATAAGAAATTAGCAATGCAGTGATCTGAATCTTCATGAAGTGCTGATTCTATTCTCTAGAAAGTGCTGATCTGTACTGATTCTGAATGCTGAATTTTGAGATGATGCTGATTCTCTAGAAGGTGCTGATTCTAAAGTACTTTGCTAAGCAGTATGAAGATAAGTGCTTTAATAAGTAGTGTGGTAAGCAGTGTGAGAGCAAGGAGCTAGTATAGCGAGTCTTGACATCATAGTTATCATTTTGACTCTAGTTGAATCATAACAATATCACATTATTATCTTTTCATTCAAGACAGAGAACTTGCTTCTTTGATATAAAGTATAGAATATTATATGATAATTTGTTGAAGGTATTATGATTTTTTATTTCCTGAAAAAGAGGAGAAAGATCATCAGACTGAGTAATTTCATAGACATTATAGCTATATTTTCAAAAATGATTAAATAGAATGATTAATGTGAAGTAGTTCTGCATATAAACTGTATAATCAGTGATATCATTATTATTAACTAACTCTCTTTTTAATTGAATATAAGATGAAGATTTCAGAAAAAGATATAATAGTTCTTTTATTATTTTTATAATATGAGAATATTTAAAATAAATAAACTAAGTATTAAAGAAAAATGTAAAAAGCATTATAATTAATATCATAAAAAAATAGAAGTATAGATATTATGAATATTATAAAGAAAAAAATAATAATAAATAAAATATATATATAGAATTGAATAATAGTTAATTATTAAATCTTTTAAAAAAAATTTAAAAATTTAAAGTATTTATATATATAAATAAATAACAATAAATTTTATTTCTAATCTTTTATAAAATAAGATATTAATAATATAGTAATTTAATTATTTATAAAGTATTGATTTTATTCTTCAAAGAATATTTATTCTAAAGAATTAATTTTTGAAAAATATTAATTTTAAAGTATTGAATTTTGAGATGATGTTGATTTTTTAAAAGATATTGATTTTAAATATATTATTATTATTATTATTATTTATTTAAAATATATTTAATTGATAACTATAATATTTATTTAATTATATTAAAATTTAATTATTTTATTAATCTAATTAATAAATAGTATATAAATTATATAGTTATAAAGTTCTATATTAGAATAATATAATATTTAATAAATTTTTAATAAAAAATAAACTTATAATTTTAATTTTTATTTAATTTCTTTATTAATTTAAAAAAATATCTCATTATATTATAAAATAAAAGTAATTTAACATAGTATAGAATAAAATAATTTAAATTAATATAAAAGAAAATTTAAAAAAAAGTAATATTAAATATATATTATATTTAAGAAATAAAATAATATTTTAAATTCAATATTTTTAATTTATATAAATTAAATCTTAACTTTATTTAAAATTAAATTTTATTTTTTAGAGATAATTTTTATTATCTTTATAAATTCAATTAAAAACTTTTTTTCTAATTCAGTATTAAATAGAAAAATTATATTTAATTGATTTATTAAATATTTTGCTTTTAATTTCTTTCTTATCTCATTATTTAATGAGTAATCCATCAGTATATGATTTAAATTTTCAACTATATCATAGAAATCATATCTATCAAAGTTCAAAATATCTTTAATTTTTTTATATATAATTTAAAGTAGTAATATCTAAGTTTTAATTATATTATAAAGGAAAATATAGTTATATAGTATCTCTGAGATAAACTATCAATATAATTACTTTAAATATTTAATAATTAATTATAGTTTTAAATAAATTAATAAATATCTTTAAATATTTTAAATCAATAGAGATTTTAAATAATAATTTTATATATAACTTTACAGTCTGAATATTCAATAATTGAAAAGTCAAAAATTTTTTATATAATTTTTATCTTGAGAAGTTCAGAATTGAATACTTGTTATTATTTATAAAAGTATAAATAATTTTTTTTATTGATAAAGCATACTGAGATATTACTCTATATGTGAAGCTTTGATAAAAATCTCTATCTTTTCTTTTATATAGCTTATATAATAGATTAAAGTTGTTCATTAAAATCTAATATATACCTTCAGTGCTCATCTAAAAAAAGTTTCTTAACTGCTTGAAAGAAGATAATATATGTGATAATAATATAAACTATTCTATTTGATATCAAATTTTCTTTTCTTATAAGTGTAGAGTTGAGCAGATAATTCTTTCAATTCTTTCATCTTTTATCTGAACTATATAAAGACATATCTTATTTTTGATGAAAGAGTGCATTTGTTAAAGTATTTTGAGTTTTAGAATAATAATGAATTGAGAAGAAAAAATGATTCAGAAGTTTTGATCAATATATCTAATGCTCTATAAGCTTTTATACTATTATAAAGTATTATAAATTTTTATAATTTATAATAATTTGAAACTTTTTAATATTAATAAACTCTGAGTTTATTTCTCAAGATGGTGAATGATTGCTAGAAATTTTTTATTATAGATTTTATAATTATATTCTGCAAATATTATCTTTTTGAATATAAAAATATATGATTATAAAACTTCATCATCATCATACTGTATTAGTGCTTTATCAGCGACATACTCAAAGAAGTTAATTTCAAAAATTGTTTATCAGTCAGAGTTAAAAATAGTCAAAATAAATATAGATATAAATATCTACTTCAGTCTTTTAAAGACTATATCTACTTTTTTATTTTATTAAAATATAAAATCTTTTTAAATTATATCTATTAATAATCGTATGATATTTAAAAAACTCTTTATAATTTATTAATAAAAGTTAATAAATTCTAAAAAGTTTTAAACTTTTTTAATAGAGTTAAAGATTTTTTATTCAAGAATGACAGTTATTTTTTTAAGATTTCTATATATATTCTCATTAACTTTAATAATAAAGTTAAAATAAATTGTAAATTTTACTTCAAATTTATATTTATTTATATTAGTCTGTAACTTAACTTCTCAGAGTCATATAAATACCTGATGAATATATCTTTGATACTCTGTTTGAGACTCATTAGTGAATATCAGAATATTATTCATATATACTGAAGCAGTCTTATTAAAAAGATTTTATAAAACTTAATTGATATATTTTTGAAATATATTTGAAATACTTATAATATCAAAGAAAATCATAGTTTATTCAAATAATTTATATCATATAT